TAGATGATCTCCTCAGGTCCCTTCCGACCCTAGAAACTATGAAACTATGATCAGGTCCGTTGAGAACTGCTGGTATTTTGGCATCACATTCTGCAAAGTGCACTACAGCTTTGACCTCATGCTCTGTTTAATTTCCATCTTCCATCTCTGTTGGAGCGCCGTTGATCACTTTTACGCTATCTGTTACCTTCTGCATTATTCAAGCAAAATGAGTTTTTCGGTGATAAGAGGGTTTCTAGCAGTTTGTTGGTCAGTGCCATCTGCTTTTGCTTTTGGGGTGGTTTTCTCAGAAGTATATGCTTCTGGAATAGAGGGCTATGAGATACTAGTAGAATGCTCTAGTTCCTGCCCAGTTGTGTTCAACAAATTATGGGGAACAATTTTATTTACTCTCCGTTTATTTGTTCCTGGCTGTGTTATGACAAGAATATATGTCAAAAAATTTGCAGTGTCCAAAAAACATGCACATTTTATGAACAATGTGCCTGAGAAAGAAAATGATAAAAAGCAGAATCAACTTTCCAAGAATAAAGACAGAAAAGCAGCTAAGATTTTGAGTATAGTTATGGGAGTTTTCCTGATATGCTGGTTTCCTTGTTTCTTTACCATTTCAATTGACCCATTTTTTAATTTTTCTACTCCTGCTGTATTGTTTGATGCCCTAACATGGTTTGGCTCTTTTAATTCCACCTGTAATCCATTAATATATGTTTTTTCTACCCATGGTTTCGAAAAGCACTATGGCATATTCTGTTGGGTAAAATATTCCAGCCACATTTCTATACCACTAATCTGTTTCTTGAAAACCAATAGCACATCTGATTATAAGAAGCTAATGTAATGGTGGTTTTCAATTAGAAAAATAGGACAGAAATTATATACATGTTTTTTGCTTGGGTATTAAAATGTAAAATGAAAGCTGCTTTATTCATCCATTCATACTTAAACTTAAACACTCTCATTTAATACTTCTTTCCTGATTAACTTGCAAAAAGGCCAAAGTAAAGACAGTGAATAGGTTGTTTTGCTCCATATATGTAGAAAATGTTAGTATACACCTTCTTAATTCAATAAAAATATTTATTTTCAAAAAATTATCAATCAGTCTGTATGGACAATGGTAACAAGAGGTTGATGAAGTAGGACAGCACCTATAACAGAAAAATAGATTAAGAAAAGTTGGTATAACATCAATCATACATGTTAAATACCATACAAAAGAGATTTATTGTTGGGAACTTGGCAACATAGGGCTTATAAAGATTTATAAACCCAGGCTCCATTGAAGTCATTCCTGAAGCAAATCTTCTCAAATTGCACCCAGAATGAGCAACTGAGTAGATTTTACAAAACACAAAGGAAAATTTTAAACGTTACAAGCCGTATTTTCTTTTCATTATTTTAATTCTAGTATAATTGGACTCCCCCAACAATGTTGTTCTTTCTTGTCTTTCCCTTTTGTATTTATTTAGATCTATCACTCTTTTATTCCTGTATTCCTTTTCTCTTTTTTCATTTCTCAAGCACCCAGTAGTAGCGGTTTTCAAACTTTTTTTTGCACATAAACACCTTTACTGACAAAACACTGCCCAAAATTAATTTCTCCACTAATTAAATGTTAATTCATTCAGTCACTCTAATAAATACATGGGAATAGAGATGTCTGTTTTCCATCTAATAGCAATCTTCAACTACCTGAAGGGGGCTTCTAAAGAGGATGAAGCTAGACTGTTCTCAGTGGTGGCAGATGACAGAAAGAGGAGCAATGGTCTCAAGTTGCAGCAAGGGAGATTTAGGTTGGATATTAGGAAAAAACTTTCTCACTAGGAGGGTGCTGAAGCACTGGATCAGGTTATCTAGAGAGGTGGTGAAATCTCCATCCTTGGAGGTTTTCAAGGCCCAGCTCAACAAAGCCCTAGCTGGGATGATCTAGTTGGGGATAGTCCTGCTTTGAGCAGAGGGTTGGACTGGATGACCTCCTGAGGTCCCTAATTTTCTGTAATTCTAAGATTCTATATCACTGCTCATAATTCCTATACTAGATGTGTCTATGCACATTCACTCCTTATGAGGAGTGTCTACATCAGCATCAACATGCAGTGACCAGTGAGAAGCTCTGTTGACATTGTTTAAATTTAGTCATGTAGCCCTGGGCAAAGGACTGTGTGCTTCAAATACCTCAATTTGAAAACACTGATTTAAGGGCTTTTCTTCATAGAAAAATTAATTTTGTTAGCCTAATATAGGTAACTGTATTAAATTAATTTGTAATGAAGTATCTGCAAAAGGCAGCTAAACAAAAATACTTAAACAGTGTACAGAGCACCCAGTGTAGAAAAGGTCATGTGCAATGCAACATATAGCCTTTCCTGTATTGGGAAGGTCCCTTGGAAGTCCATGAAAGGGGTTTTCAACTAGAAATTTTCCAACCACAGTTGTAATCTTCCACCTAGAATTACAGCTATTTGGAATTTTTGCAATGACTTTTTTTTCATCAAAATATGCTGTTTCATTAAGGTCAAAATGTTTTGCAGAATGGCAAAAGGTTTCAAGTGAGGTTTTCCACAGCCCTGTCCTAGGTCCAGTGCTGTGTAACATGTTTATTAATGATATGGATGCTGGAATAGGGAGCTCTTTGCAGATTATATGAAACTGGTAAGGAATGCAGAAACTTTGGAGAATAGGCATAGAATTCAGAAGAGTCCTAATATTGGAGGGCTGGACTAAACACCATAGAATGAAGTTCAACACAGACCAATGTAAGGTCTTGCCCCGGTGAAGAATAATGAAGGATAGATTTGTCACCTTCTTGAAGAATGTTTCATCCACCTCCTTGCCTGTAATAAATCCCCACTATTATATTGGTGCCATGTCTTTCATATTTCATCTTCACCCAAATGCATTCTTCTTCCTCCTGAACCAGGGAACAAGTGTGTGTGTGTTTCTGACATACAAGGAAACAGCACCATCTATTCTCCCTAACCTATCCTTCTCAAAAAGAGTTTAACCCTTTGTAGCAGGGTGTTGGACCCTGCTATGCTCACCTATAGATGAGCTTACGCCAGAGACATGATGGAGAGATTCAAAGCGCTGGGACTCTGGGGCTGGGTGGGGCAGCCATTGACAGGCTGGGAGAATGGGCAGGGGTCCCTCAGGGGGTGCTCAGAGGGGCTGGGGGAGCGGGCAGAGGATGGGGGGTAATCTCATGGTCCCCTCCCCTGTCCTCCAGCCCTCCCACCCTTCTTACCGGCACAGAGTCTGGGTCCAGCTCCCTATGATGGTGAACATGGACTGCTCAAATCTCCAAATCTCTCTGAAGCTTTCCGAAACTTTTCTGAATCGATTCAGAGAGCTTCAAATCAATTCAGACCTTTTTTTGGTCTCCTGATTCATTTTGGATTCAGAGATTCAGCCACTGAATCAGGCCAGATCTCCTCTGAATTGAATCAGTGACTGAAGCTTCACACAGCCCTAGTATTTATCGTGATGCCAAGAAGCTGAAGACAGCCTGGACCTGCAAAGAAGAGAGAGCAAGAGAGAGGCCTTTTGAATTGAATAAGGAGCAGAGCTCTGAACTGAGGGAGGGACATTGTTTGGGTGTGCACGTCCCAATTGAGAGAAAGACTGTGGCTACTGGTTGGCAGTTAGACTCAGGCAGGAAAACAGTAGAGGTGTGCAAAATGGGCCATATTCGATTCAGATTCAGCCTGAATCGAGGAAAATGATTCAATTTGGAGAATCAGTAATTTGGCCATAGACACAGCTTTAGATTTTTTAAATGTTTTTTCTACATACCTCGAGGTACCAGGTGTGGCTCATGAAGGCTGTGTTGCTGGGGCAGATGGAGTGTCCCACAAGAGTGCAGGGCCCCTCTGCATGCTTGGCAGTGAACCTGGAAGTGGACCAGAAGTAGTTCTGGTCCACTTACGGGTCCGTCACTGAGCACATGAGGGAACCCCCCCCCCACACCCTCTCCAGCTGGGTGATTGGCTGCAGGGGAACCCCGGGTACCCCCCCCCCCGAGCCAGGTTGGCACCATTTGTTGAGCCAGGGTGCCGGGGTGGTGGGGGGGAGGTCCCTCACTTGCTCCCTAGTGGACCCAGAAGTGGACGACCAGTGCTTCTGGTCCACTTCCAGTCTGCTGCTAAGCACACTGGGGACCCCCCCACACAAACACGCTCCCGTGGAGGAATTCCATACTCCTGCTACACCTTTGATGTTCACATTCCAGTTATAAAAGCTGTCCCACCAGGTCTTGTGATACCTATCAGATTATATTTCTTTTTACAGGCTGCAGCTTCCAGCTCATCTGATTTATTCCCCGTACTTCTCACATTTGTATATGTGCACCATTTTGCATTTTGATCTTCTAACTTCCCTTTTGTGCCACTTGTTGCAGTCCTGTAACTCTCTGGACCTTTCCCAGAGTTGAGTTGCTTCTTTGAGCCCTTTGCTCTCTGGGCTGCATGCTGTGTTGCTGGAGGGTTTTGATCACCATCCTCCATGGAGCCTAGTTTAAAGCCCTCATGCCTCAAGTCTCATGCCTTGGCTGTGGCACTGGCACTCCCTGGCAATCAGTTGAGACTTGCCTTGGTCCTCCAGCTCCTTGATAACTTTCTTTTTCCTTTCCTGCCACAGCTTTGGTCTTAACTATCATTTGGGATGCAGCCCTTAGATCTCTGGAGTGACATCTCAGGTGCCATTCTCTGCTTTACTCATCACAGGGCTTCCTTGTCCTGGCCCAGTCTGAGTTGCGATCTGCCTCTCCAGGGTTTCCTGCCCCTCAAGGGGCACATCCCCAAGAAGACATGTGCGGTTTGCAGTGCTGGAAACCACACGTAGATACATTTGCCACACTGCTAATTTGCAGGAGATCCCAGTGTCAAAAAAAATCCCCACTAAAAAAAGCTGTGCAGTCAGGCATGGCTGGTGAACTCAGACTGGTGGGGCAGGTGGAGCATCACACAGGGTTTGCAGCCAGCTGGGGGGTGGGGAGAGGGCTTGCAGCCAGTCAGGCATTCTGACCTGGAGTGGGGAGGCTGCAACCCCCACCCCCCCGCTCCCAGCTAACTATAAACCCCCTCCCCCCCACTCCTGGCCAGCTGCAACCACCCCCCTGCTCCCATTTGCCACTCCACCCACCCCACCAGTCTGAGTTCACCAGCCCCCCTGGGTGCAGTGCACATGGCAGGAGCATGCAGTACCAAAAAGGGAGCCTGGCTGGCCATAGCCATGCTCTGGCTGCTGGGCAGGCTCCAGGCAGCTGGCTCGGTGTCACTGCTGCCCTGGGAGGCCTCCTGGACCCCAAGTAAGACTGCTGGGGCCAGCCCAGGGGCTGGCCCCCAGTTTCCCCTACCCTAACCAAGGTACATGCTAGAGCATGTGTGCAGAGGCATGCCAGGGTACAAATAGCAACAGCACAAATAGCAGGCTTGCCAAAGGACAAATAGTAGTGGGAATCCCATGGGGGCCATGCACTCTTGCACATATAGGCCAGTTAGTCTTACCTCAATCCTGGGTAAGCTTTTTGAGAGAATTATTCTGGCACATGTCCATGAGGGGCCAGCAGGAGAGATTATGCTTAGGGGCAACCAACATGGGTTCATTAGTGGCAGGTCCTGTCAGACC